CACAAATGAATACAAGAATAATTTATGGATCAGGATAAATGTTCTATCTTGGAACAGAAGCTTAATAGGGTAGGCTCTGGTGGAAGACCAGGATTCTTGAAGGTTGGAGATTCAACAGGAACTTGGAGGTCTCCTAATTGACATTGGAGTGACGCTTCTATGAATTTGGGTGCTGAAAATTCAAGCTCATGGTTTTGTGTTGAAAATGTCATCACCACACTGTTGTACCCCCATTCAGCATCCCTCACCATGGAAATGGACTGGGTTGATACAGCCAATCTTGATCCACTTCATTAGCCCAAATGTCTGTACACTAGATTTTCCGAATGTCAACTGCTCTCACATATGGCCTAGAGAATGCCCTCAGTCAAATGGGACAGAGACTCATCTCCCTCCGAATATTCCTGCATTCAACAACTAAGTGGTCTGGAGCTAGAAAGGTTTGTCTGATTTCAATACAGGACACTGTTGCATCATCCTTACTCCAGGGCTCCTCCTGGGATCAGGCCATGGTCTTCAGTGAACGACACAGATTCATTCACTCCCTCCTCATGCCCTTTCCCATCCCCCACCCTTCTGCTCTTGCTTCAATATATCAAGTTCATGAGAATTCTAGTGTCTGACATACTCTTATCCTATGGAACCCAATCTGAAACACAGCCTTGCATCCTATCCTGAAACCCAATATTATCAGTAATATTAGTTACTTCACAGGTATAGCACAAATTCTAGTTGATCTTAATAATAAAAGCCCAGAGCCAGATATTAGGGCATGAAAGCTGAAAGATCAGAGAAGCTGGGAGTTCTGACCTCTGTAAAATCCTCAAACTGAAAAGGTGGTTAGCTCCACCCACCTTATATTCCTTTCTCCACCCAACCATATCTTCCTTCCTAGCACTGGGATTAAAGGTGCCGTGCCACCACTGCCTGGCCTCCATGGTTAACTAGTGGTTAGCTCTGCACTCTGATCTCCAGGCAAACTTTATTTGTTAGAGTACAAACAAGCTACCACCACACACAGGTTTATAAGCTGTCTGTGTACCAGACAGCTCTTTATATACACCTCCTTTCACAGTACTTTACAGGTTCCATGCCACTGTTCCCACGCCACAGATGCTCTGAGTGGTGATGGCATGGGTCATCCGCATCAAGTTTCTTTCAACCTCTGATGGAGACTTAGACACCCCAAGGGTACACCCCTCTTTCTGCACCGATCCTTCCCTCCATTGCACACATTCCTCAGACTCTTTGTCCCTCTCTTCCCCCTCCCACTTCTAACACCCACCCACCACCTAAGGCCAACAGGGTCAATTATGTGCATGCCACAGCTCAGGACCTCCTAAGGCAGACAATTCAATTTGTTCCCATCTACTTTGGTTTTCTTTCAGAATTCCTCTTTTTAAAAAATTGGCCATAAGCACGTTTGGCCTCCCAAGACAGCTCCCTCCATGTGTTTCTAGCATTCTTAGCAGAGTATGTGTGGCAGGAACACAGGGATCTTACAGCCTTCTCTGTGAAGCACTCAAAATAATTGATGAAATACAAATCTAGTTGAGAACTGCAGAGGTTCCTCGCTCCCAAAGAACTAAGTCTCATGGTGGTGGGATCAGAGGGCCCATGTCCATTCCTTCTCAGAAAGATGGCACACAAGAGATAGATGGCGACTTGGAAGGAAGAAACAAACAGGGTAAGTATGGTAACTAAAGAGGAGGGGAAATCAAGGCACAAACATGAGTGCTTTCCATGGGCTGTTCCTTCTGCCTAGAATCTTATCTTCCTTTCTCTGACTATTGACCTCTTTGTGCTCCAAAACCCAGCTTGAATGTCATTAATGTAAGAAACTGTACATTGAGTCTTCCCAGTTTCCTGGCACAGCCACTGCTATCCACAGCCGTATACGGCACAGGCTCTGTGCTGAGGCTTGAAGAGTTCATTCTCCTATGATATAACTTGGGGTTGTATCCTTCTGTCTCAGCTCCTTTTCCTGTTGCAATAGGAAAATCCTCAGACAAAACCAGCTCAAGGGCTAAAGGGTTCATCTAGGCTCACAGTTCAAGGGTACAGTGCATCAGGGCAGGGAGTCATGACAGCAGGAGACAGCTGTCACGTCGCATCACATCCACAGTCAGGAGGCAAAGCGTGGTGGACTATGATGTTCAGCTCTCTGATTCCTTTTTATCCAGCGCAGGAGTCCAACTGGTACTGCCCACACTCAAGGTGGACTTACCCATCCCAATTAACCAAAACTAGATAGTCCCTTAAGAGGAGATCACAAGCTTGTCTGCTAGGTGTTTCTGGACCCCATCAAGCGGACAGTTGATGTTAATCATTGCATCTCACTTGCCAATTTTGTAGCTTTATGCAAGTCCTTCAACATCTCTAGGCCCTTGCTGTCCTCATCTCCAAAACAGAATGAGCATCAATCGCTCATTGCTGTTGGTGGGATTTGAGCCACACTCAAGTAACATCAAAGTTCCTCTCTACTGTTACTGTAAGTAGCCACAGCACACCTCCCCTACTGTCCGTCATGCTAATTAGTACTTTGCTCTCAATGGCCTTGTGTTAATTAACATGCCTGCATATGTCTCATTTCTTTAAGTACACTGCAAGACCCTGGGGACAGAGTGCATCTTACACATGTTCACGTCACACACAGCCCCAAGAACAGTGCCAGACACATAATACGTGCTCAAATATTTACAGAATGAATTCTTAAAGCTTTGGCTACAACTATAGGTGTTTGTTTTGATTGGCAACAGAACAAATGACATTTGTATTTACACTCTTGTTTCCAAGACTAATTGATGTGGGTCTTCTAATCATAACAGCCCCTTTAAACTACCCCCCTAATAATGGCAAAAGCTATCAATTAAACAAACCATTAGATGTATCAACAACCTATTAATCCAGTCTTCATGGAGAGATGTTGGTGGATTTTCAACTGTCTGGCTGTGCAGTAGAATTGGCGCTAAGTAGAATATTCAGTATGGCTTCAGTCCTTTCATCCACACTGCTTACTCTGTGAATGGTGACTGGATGACAGGTCTAGAGAGACTGTTCAGTGCATGAGAGTGAGGGCTTAAGTTCGAATCCCCATCACACACATAAGAATCTGGGTATGGCTTTGCCTGCAACCCTAGCGCTGGGTCAGAAGACAAGATTCCTAAGGTGTGTTCACAGCTAACCTGGCTCCAGGTTCAGACCCTGCCTCAAAGGAGTTAAGGTGGATGTAGTATTAAACTGACTCCTAACAACTTTTATTAAATCCAAAGATGAATGCATCTCTCTGTTCTCATCACAGAAGCTTCTATTTGTTCCAGATAGTGATTAACACAGACGCTCACAACTGGTTAGTGTGTGGAGAACAGGAGACTTCAAGGAGACTGCTCATCCCTAAGTGGACATGTATGGCATTCTCTTCTCCTTAGGTCCAGAGATCCCCATGGAAGCCTAGGCAGAAAGAGTATATGAGCCAGAGATGGTGAGTGGCCATAAAGAAACTGTCTTCTAGACACAGCAGGGCAGCTGCATATGAACTCACAGCATTTGTGACACCATGCACAAAGCCTGTGCAAGCCAAAGCCAGCCTAGATCCCAACATGGAAAGCAGGTGTGGGCACAAAGTCCCACCCTAGCTTCTGGGAGAGGAAGTCAGTTTTCTCTAAATATAGTGAGTTGACCACACTCCAGAGGAAAGCCACATATCCAAGAACATTTGGGCAGCATAGATTTAATTAGATTTAATGAGTGTTTAAAAAAGAGGACAAAATGTTGGGTCAAAGGGGAAGGGAGTGGAGCAGGAACAAACATAACCAAAGTGCATTATGTGAAATTTACTATTTTTAAAGGAATCAAGTGGAGAGTGATAGAGACGGGTACCTGACAACCTCTGACTGCATCATACTCCCAGAGTTCTCAGCCCTGAGAGAAAGAAAGAGAGAGAGAGAGAGAGACAGAGACAGAGACAGAGACAGAGACAGAGAGACAGAGAGAGAGAGAAAGGAATTGAATCTCTCAACTGCTCCAGTGCCAAGATGTGAATGCTATCACATGTCCACATATACCACATGCCCTCCACACAACACAAATACACACAGGCACACACAGATACAAGACAACACACACACATGCAACCACACATATACTATATACATACCCACATAAAACACATACATATACCACAAATGTACACATACATATATAACACACACACACTCCCACATACAAATATACTGAGACACACACAAAACAGATACCACACACGTACCATGTACATACTGACACACATACAAATATACACACATATGTACATATATACATACATTTACATGAACAGAAACATATGCACATACACTACACACTGCCACATACAAATAGGTGCATTCACAAAAATGGAAAAATGATGTCACTAACACAAGTGTGACACACAGACACATTCATTCGGATCCAGGCACCATTAGTTGTTCATTCACTACAACTCTTCAAGAATGATGTGAGGACAGGGATGTTTTGTAGAAAGAAGATGCAGACCCTGGCTCTGCCATTCCTTTGTGGGTGAATCATTTTTATATCATTTTCATACATATAAAACAGAGATTAAACACCTGCACACAGAGCTGTTATAAAGATTAAACATAAACAATAACATGGAGACAGCTGTTGGAATTGAACTAACCCAGCCTGTCTCCCAACGAGCCTCACTTCCTCCACTTTCACTATCAAGTATTCCACTTAGCAACTATTGTCTAACTACCTACTATGTGCTAAAGAAAGAGGAAGGCAAAACGAACAGAATGCCTACCCACATGGGGCTCACAGTCTGGGAGAGAAAGCAGGCAATGCAGGGACACCTTGATAACATGACATTCAAGAAACCCAAGGGACACAGGAGAAAAGAGACCCAGCCAGGGCTTGCAAGGTAGGAGGGCCACCAAAAGCTTCCTCTAGAGAGTATTCACTCCCATGCGACCATTGCTCAGCTTCTCCCCACCCTCTGTCACCTGCGTGGTAATGGCAGACAGTAACCATACTGGAAGTATCCTTGGGACATCTGTGGTAGGTCTGCATGAGCGATAGCACCAGAGATGACATCAAGCTGACAGAGGCTGTTTTCATCCCAGACCATCTATAACAAAATAAGACACACACCTTCATCCACAAAGGATTTGTTCCAGACCCATTAGGATGCCTAAAAACTACAGGTCATTCTCAAGTCTACATATACATGAAGGATTTGTCCTATATGCATCTATGATAAAGTTTAATATACAAAACAGGCAGAATAGGAGGTTAATGAAAACCAAAAGTAAAATGGATTGGTCATAACACACTGCATTGAGAGTTAGTCAAAACTTATTAGCTGTTAATATCTGGCATGTTGGAGTTGTGGCTAATCACAGGTTAACTGAAACAGCAGAAAGGAAAACTGTGATTTATGAGCGACTTGAGGACCTCAAGCCAGGTGGACCGAGGTATAGGAATTTATCATCGTACAGGCTCCAAAGAACCAAACAAAATCAAGGATCAGGGTGTCAGGGAAAGTTTATTTTAGAGGGATGCAAGAGTATCGCCCCCTACAGTTTCTCTTAGCTTCAGGCCATTTCCTGTAAACCTTTGGCACCCCTGGCTTACAGGAAGAGTTGGTCTGTCTTGTTCCCAGGCCTGCTGGTGGGCATGTCTGCATCCAAATTCTCTGCTTCCTAAAGATGATCCACTCACTGTGAGTGGCAGCATTCCCTAGATTGGGATCCTGGATGGATGGAGCACAACATACATTTGCTGCTTCTTGACTCCAGGGGGCATACGATCAGCACCTTCAGCTCCTGCTGTTGCCTTGATTTCAACATGAGGGCCTGAATCTCTAACAGTGATCCAGAATAAACCAGTTCTCTCCTAAGTTGCTTTTGCCAGGAAAAGAAACTAAAAATGAAGGCACCAGTTAAGATGCCCACATAAAAGGTAGACACAACAGCACACGTGCCTGTAATCCCAGCACCCTATGGTCAGATGGGAGGTGCAGATGGGGGAATCCATAGACACTCACAGGCCAGATATCCAGCACACAGCAGCAATGAGTCCTTGTCTCAAACAAGATGGAGGACCCAAAGATTGACCTCTGACCTCCAAACATGTGCTGAAGTCCATGTATAACTCCCCCTACCTGGTGCCCACCCCCAAAGAAATTATTTTACAAGATGTCATTATGGAGGTACAGCTCACCTCACTGAATATTGTCCCCCTTGCCACTGGACATTCTTTCCACACTCCAGGCAGTGCTCGATGGTTCCAGAAATAACAGCTACCTAGCTTTCTCATTGTACTCCTAGAAACAGCATCATGGGAACCTATCCATCACCAGCACCAGCTGGCTACGGTCACCTCTTCAGTGTCAGAGGCAGCCCCTCTTCCAAGAATTCAGAATCTAGAACCCAGTCACTCCCATTGTTCCTCCAGCCCTACGAAGGGTGAGTGACTCCCCGGCCAGTGTCAGCCTCCGAGTTTTCCCAGTGATCTCTGGTCCAGGGATTCACACCTGAGTGTAATTTCTTTTCCAATGGCAGACATGATGGGATTCCTCCCTCATTCCTCGTAGCAGAGGTGAGGAGAAGCCACCCCTGAGATAGAATGAGGAGACTGATCTCAGCCAAGGCTGTTCTCTCTTGCTTGCCCATTCTGATGAAGCCAGCAGCCATGTTGGGAGTCCCCTGTGGAGACAACACCTGTGAGGCCAGGAGCTCCTCTACCCACAGCCAGAGACAACCACAAAAGCCTATCAGGAAGCTGAAACATGATCACCAGAGTGATCATGGAAGCAGATCCCTCCCTCAGAGGAAACTGACTTTGGAAGAGACTCCAGTTTCAGTTGACATATGGTGGTTACCTTGTAGAACATCCTGGAACAGAGGACCCAGGGAAGTCACACCACCTACCTGGGTGACTGGCTATGCAGACTTGTAGGAAGTATGTGTTGCATACTGTTTCCTTCTTCCCTCCCCACCCTCCAGCAGATGCTGAACCAACTCCTTGTATTTAATTCTGTTTAATTAACTTGCATGATTTCCATCTTACAGATTGGCTGCTGGTTGTCTTATGATGGCAACTGAGCCTTGGCCTTAAGGACACTTGGGTTGAGCAGCATGATCATATGGAAAACTGCTTCAGAAACAGACAGTGGCCTGTGCAAAGTCCTGAAAACATTCATCCCTTAAACACTGATTGGGTACCTTCTGTGTTAGTTAGGGTTCCTAGTTCTGTGAAAAGACACTGTGACCATGGCCACTCCTATAAATGGAAGCATTTAATTGGGGCTGGCTTACAATTCAGAGATCTAGTCCATTATCATGGCATGACATGGCAGTCTGCGGGCAAACATGATACTGTGGGGGGGGGGCAACTGTGAGTTTTACTTCTGAATCAGCAGGCAGAAGGAAGAGAGGACAGACAGACAGATGGCACAAAGACATGGGGTCTGGCTTGAGCTTCAGAAACATCAAAGTCCACCCCCTGTGACACACTTCCTCCAACAATACCATACCTGCTCCAACAAGCCACACCTCCAGTAAAGACACTCCTCATGAGCCTATGGGGCCATGTTCACTCAAACCACCACATCCACTATCTGCCAGGCCAAGTGCTAAGTGACGTCTTGGCTTCCTGGAAACTGCCTCAAGCATGTCTCTTTGGTCAGGACAATAGAGACAAAAGCTCAGAGAAACCCCGACCTCCCAACAACCAAGTTTCCTCACAACAAGATGCCACGTATTCATAGCAGCTTTATTTTGTTTTCCATTTTTCTTTTAAATTAGAAACACACTTCTTTTACATGTCAATCCCAGTTCCTTCTCCTTCCCCTCTTCCTCTGCCCCCACCGGCTCCCTATCCCATCCCTCTTTCTGCTCCCCAGGGAGGGTGAGACCTTCCATGGGGGATCTTCAAAGTCTGTCATATCATTTGGAGCAGGATCTAGACCCTCCCCCATGTGTTTAGGCTGAGAGAGTATTCCTCTATGTGGAGCGGGCTCCCAAAGTCCATTCGTGTACTAGGGCTAAATACCAGAGGCCCCATAGATTAACCAGACCTCCAAACTGACATCCACATTCAGGGTGTCTGGATCAGTCCTATGCTGGTTTCCCAGCTATCAGTCTGGGGTCCATGAGTTCCCCCTTGTTCAGGATAGCTATTTCTGTGGGTTTCTCCAGCCTGGTCTTCACCCCTTTGCTCATCACTCCTTTTCTGCAACTGGATTCCAGAGTCCAGCTCAGTGTTTAGCTGTGGGTGTCTGCTTCTGCTTCCATCAGCTAATAGATGAAGGCTGTAGGATGGCATATAAAGGTAGTCATCAAAATCATTATTGGAGAAGGGCATTGAAGGTAACCTCTTGACTATTGTTTAGATTATTAGTTGAGGTAAACATTATAGATCTCTGGATATTTCCCTAGTGCTAGATTTCTCTCTAAACCTATAATGGCTCCCTCTATTATGGTATCTCTTCTCTTGCTCTCCTCTCTTCTTCCCCTGACTCGATCTTACTGCTCTTCCTATCCTCTTCTAATCCTTCTCTTCTCCACTTCTCTTTCTTCTAATCCCCTCTCCCCTCCCCCCATGCTCCAAATTAGGTCAAGAGATTTTGTCCCTTTCCCCTTCTCCAGGGGACCATGTATGTCTGTCTCATTCTCTGGCGGTATGTATTGTAGGCTGGTACTCCTTTGCTCAGTGTCTAAAATCCATATATGAGTGAGTACATACCATTATGTCTTTTTGTGACTGGGTTACCTCACCCAGGATGGTTTCTTCTAGTTCCATCCATTTGCCTACGAATTTCAATATTTCATTTGTTTTTTTTCCGCTGAGTAGTACTCCATTGTGTAAATGTACCACATTTTCTTTATCCATTCTTCAGTTGAGGGGCACCTAGGTTGCTTCCAGGTTCTTTCTATCACAAATAATGCTGCTATGAACACGGTTGGACAGATGTCCTTGTTGTATTAATGTGCACCTTTGGGTATATGCCTAAGAGTGGAATTGCTGGATTTTGTGTAGACTGATTCCCATTTTCTGGATGAATCTCCATATTGATTTCCAAAGTGGCTGTATGACTTGGCACTCCCACCAGCAGTGGAGGAGTGTTCCCCTTTCTCCACATCCTCTCCAGCATAAACTGTCATTGGTGTTTTTTATTTTGGCCATTTTGATAGGAGTAAGATGATATCCCAGAGTTGTTTTGACTTGCATTTCCCTGATGACTAAGGATGTTGAGTACTGTCTTATGGGTCTCTCATACATTTTAGATTCCTCCATTGAGAATTCTCTACTTAGTGCTATACCCCACTTTTTAATTGGATTATTTGGTATTTTGGTGACTAGCTTCTTCAGTTCTTTGTATATTTTGGAAATTGCCCTCTGTCAGGTGTGGGGTTGGTGAATATCTTTTCCCATTCTGCGAACTGCTGTTTTGTCTTATTGACTGTGTCCTTTGCCTTACAGAATCTTCTCAGTTTCAGGAGGTCCCATTTATTAATTGTCCATCTCAGTGTCTCTGCTACTGGTGCTATGTTCAGGAAGCAGTCTCCTGTACCAATTTGTTCCAGGATACCTCCTACTTTCTCTTCTGAGAGGTTCAGTGTGACTGGATTTATGTTGAGGTCTTTGATCCATTTGGACTCGTTTTGTGCATGGCAATAGACCTGGATCTATCTGGAGTCTTCTATATGCCAACATCCAGTCACGCCAGCACCATTTGTTGAAGATGCTTTCTTTTTTCCATTGTATAATTTTAGCTTCTTTGTCAAAAATCAGGTGTTTGTAGATGTGTGGGTCCATATCAGAATTTTCAATTTGATTCCATTGGTCTACCTGTATATTTTTGTGCCAATACCAAGCGGTTTTAAGATCTATAGCTCTATAATAGAGCTTGAAGTCAGGGATGGTGATGCCTCCAGAAGTTCCTTTATTGTACAGAGTTGTTTTGGCTATCCTGGGTCTTTTATTTTTACTTATAAAGTTGAGAATTGCTCTTTCAAGATTTAGGAAGAGTTGTGCTGAGATTTTGTTGGGGATTGCATTGAATCTGTAGATTACTTTTGGCAAGATTGCCATTTTTACTACATTGATCTTGCCTATCCAAGAGCATGGGAGATCTTTCCATTTTCTGGTATATTCTTAAATTTCTTTCTTTAAAGACTCAAAGTTCTTGTCATACAGGTCTTTCACTTGTTTGATTAGCATTACCCCAAGGTATTTTATGTTGTTTGTGGCAATTTTAAAGGGTGATGTTTCCCTGATTTCTTTCTCAGCCCATTTATTGTCTGTATATAGTAGGGCTACACATTTTTTTAGTTAATCTTGTATCCTGCCACTTTGCTGAAGGTGTTTATCAGCTGCAGGAATTCACTGGTAGAGTTTTTTGGTTCACTTATATAAACTATCATATCATCTACAAATAGTGAAAGTTTCACTTCTTTTCCAATTTGTATCCCCTTGATCTCCTTTTGTTGTCTTATTGCTCTAGCTAGAAATTCAAGTACAATATTGAAGAGGTAGAGAGAGTGGACAGCCTTGTCATGTTCCTGATTGTAGAGGAATCGAGTTGAGTTTCTCTCCATTTAGTTTGATGTCGGCTGTTGGTTTGCTGTATATAGGTTTTGTTATGTTTAGTTATGTTCCTGTTATCCCTGATATCTCCAAGACCTTTATCTTGAAGGGGTGTTGGATTTTGTCAAAGGCTTTTTCAGCATCTAGTGAGATGATCATGTGATATTTGCTTCTCTGCTTGTTTATGTGGTGGATTACACTGATGAATTTTTCGTGTGTTGAACCATCCTTGCATCCCTGGGATGTAGCCTCCTTGATCATGGTGGATGATTTTTCTGATGTGTTCTGATGTGCCAGTACTTTATTGAGTATTTTTGCCTCAAAGTTTATGAGGGATATTGGTCTAAAGCTCTCTTTCTTAGCTGTGTCTTTGTGTGGGTTGGGTATTTATGAGGCAATTGATGCCTCATAAAAGAGTTTGGCAATGACCATTCTGCTTCTATTGCATGAAATACTTTAAGGATAATTGGCATTGGCTGTTCTTTGACATTCTGATAGAATTCTGCACTCAGGCCAACTAACCCTGGGCTTTTTTTGGTTGGGAGACTTTTGATGCCTGCTTCTATTTCATTAGGGGTTATAGGTCTATTTAAATTGCTTATCTGTTCTTGATTTAATTTTGGTAAGTGATGTCTATCCAGAAAATTGTCCATTTACTTTAGATTTTTGAATTTTGAGGAGTACAGGTTTTCAAAGTATGACCTGATGATGCTCTGGATTTCCTCAGTATCCATTGTTATGTCCACCTTTCCATTTCTGATTTTGTTAATTTGCATATTCACATTCTGCAGTTTAGTAAGTGTGAATAA